CGCCGCGGGGGGGTTTGTGTGGGTGGTGAGCGGTGATGTCTACGTGAATGGTGGGTGCGGGCTTTTGGCGGCCCAAAACACTGGTCTAGGGTCTTCTTAAAGAACCTCCAGAAACGGAGAACCTGCATCCTCCATAGGTAGCCCGTGCTACTCTCGTTCTGAAGGTCTCCCTTTTATTTAAACAAAATCTAGGTAGCTACAACTTATACCCACTGCTTCTGGCCCGCGTTTCTGCAGCCATGGAAAAAGCTTCACAAAACATCTTCCCCGGAGCTGCTCTTGGCGTCTTCTGGAAACTGGCAGTTTACTCTTATTCTGTCGCTGCGTGATTCCTGAAGCTGCTACAGAAAGCCGCCCATACCCCTGAAGCCGTCTCTGGCCCCTGGGCGTGTGCAAAGGGTTCGTACCAGAAACATATAGATTGCAGTGCAACGACAGGTGCAGGCTGATGTTTGTTCAGGCCCGCCCAAAGACAATAGTTTCTGAGGGAGGAAGGCTTTAAAAAGGGGAAACCAAGAAAAAGGGGGTCTGAACTCTCCAGGGAAGCCCCCCATCCTTAAATGTATCCATTTCACGGGAGAAGGAAAGAAACGCTTCTTCCCTCTTCCTTCCTCGCACCTCCGCCGGCTCCCTGAAGATGCACGCATTCAAAACGAAGCACCCGTTGCTTAAGCGCACACAATGCAGCTAACCGGAGATTGGGTTTTTCAGAGCAGGCTCCCCGTTTGGCCAGGGGGAGGAAGGAAGCCAAGGGGAGGACTTGGCACCCCTCAGTTGCCTGTCAGCCCACCCGGTTTGCTACGTTTTGCATCGGGACACTTGTAGGCTTGGAACGAACAGTCCCCCAGGCAGCCTACATAGCTCGCTCACACATTCGTTTTACTCGCAGCACCAGAGTCCGTTCTCGCATCTTCACAACCTGCCTGGGTGTTGTGTCCCTTCCCCTGCCTCATGCGGCCCACAGACCGGCTGATCTCTCCTTCACCCTCTTCCTTGGCGGTGCTATTTCCTCATGATTTACTTTCTTCCTGCCTCCATCCACTGTCCCCTAAGGAGCTCGCAGAGAAACCACGAGATGGTACTCTCAAGAGATGGCACCAGAGCCAGGTTTTGCAAATCTGCAAAATGGGATGCAGCTTAAAAAAAAAAAAAAAGGAGCAGGGAGGCAAGCTTTTGGAAGATCGCGGGTGCTAAATTTCAGAAGCCACCGAGAAAAATGAATCACCGTGGCACAAGGTAATTTTAAGAGCAGCAGTAACAGAAATGCGTGTCGTATCTGCAGGCTAAAAACTGTAGAATCCAGTTTTCCTCCTGCAGAACACCTTTTGTATTTTTACACAGAGAGAGCCTACAAATAGACCAGATTATTCGGTAATGCAGCAGGCATAAATGATTGGAGGCAGGACAGGAACTGCTGTGAGCCACTGTGCTACTGCCAAGAGGAGGAACAGAGTGGAACCCTTCCAACCTCCTGAGAACAGGCCACTCGGGAGCGCGATGCTGCACTTCACTTTGGTCTCGCCCTCCCCTCCTTTCTCCGCTTTGTCCAGCTGTACACGGGCAACTCGCATTTTCTAACCAGTGGCTGGAAACTCCTGGGAGAAAGCAATCCCGGGGGGCGACGGTGGAACTCACTTGCTGGCCCGCACGACCTCTGCGGCCGAATGGTTGATGGTCAGCTCACTCAGCGGGATGCGCCGCTCCTCGACCTCGGAGGCGATGAATGTCTCCTTGTCCCCGCTCTCCACTTTGATAAGCCGGATCTTCAGCTCCTTGGGAGGGCCCTCCGTGAAGGAGCGCAGCTTGAGCAGGTCGGCGGAGCACACCATGGTGGAGACCGAACCGACCGGGCCCTCCTCCTTCTTGACGGGAGACCTCCGTTCGGGTGG